CGCTGGTCGTGCACATTGGGTGTGAACGCGGCCGGGGGCTCGGGCATCTCGAAGATGTCGCTGGGAGCCTCCGTTGCTTCGGCTGCTGCTGCTCGCCATGGTGGAATGACCTCCGAGGCTTTGGGCGCCGCAGCTGTCGCTGCCACCGAGGGCGGCATTGCCTTGGGCGCCACGGGCTGCGCTGGAGAGGGTACTGCCTCAGTGTCCGGGGGTGGCACGGTGCGCGGCTTCTTGGTCTTGGGAACAGGGACTGGACTCGGGGACGCGCTCGGGGAGCGAGGGCCTGCTGAGGACTCATCTTCACTGGAGGTGCTCTCTGGCGATGATGATCGATGTGGAGCCTCAGGGGCGTCGGCCACGGGGAGAGCGACTGGCTCTGCGGTGCTGGGCACTGCGACGTTCGCCAGAGGGGTGTGCTCGACGTCCTCGGCCACCACATAGCGCTTTGCCAAGCAAGCCTGAGCTGGATGCTTCCCTCCGCAGGCACGGCCAGTCTTCAGCACTATGGCACAAAGGTGGGCTTCACCACAGGTTCCCTCGCCCACGTGGCAGGCGTCCAACTGAAAGTTGGGGCATAGCGCCTTGCCGTTCCTCAGGAAACGGGTGACCACCTTGCCATTGATGGAAGGGGGCATCACAGCTTCGGAGCGCTTGGAACTAGCTTGTGCCGCTCTTGTGAGCGCTGCACGCTCTCGCGAGAAAGCGAACGCGCGCTGCGCTGCTGCCACCGACACAAGCTGTGCTTGTCGAGGCTCACTGCCCGCTGCACCTCGGGCTTGGCCGCGTCCACTGCGGCAGTGATGGCGGCTGGAGTTGCCAGTTCCCAGGCATCAAATTCGCCCAACCTGGCGACAAGTCCCAGCGACAGATGTTTGAGCCTCATGCTAACGAGATCACGGCTGCCTGCGTAGTGTGTCGGCATGGCGGCCTCCTGAGGTAGCTCACTCTTGGATTGCCAATCCCCCAAGGCCACCATCTCAACCGGGGTGTACTTGGCCAGCAACGCCACCGTGGGCATGAGCCGGCGCCACGAGTAGGTGGAGAGGTCGGCCACGTCGGTCACAAGGTCCTGGAACAGCTCACGACCTGCGGCTTGCACCTCAGAGATGTCCCACGCGCGGCCTTCCCGATTGAAGCAGAGGCCGCCTTCATCTCGTTGGGCCTCGGGCAACTGGTTCCGAAGGGCCACCACATGCTCTGCCCAGGGCCAGCCATCTGTGAACTGCGAAGGGATGGAGAAGTCGAAGCCATCACGTTTGCTCGCCTGCTTCCCTTTGGGGCAATGGCAGTACATCGTTGAGCGGGACAATCGCACCATCTGAGCACGTTGGACATGCCGGTAGCGTAGTACCCCTACGCCGACGATCCAACTTCCCAGCATCGCAGTCCAGCGAGGGTCCTGTCGGGTGAAGGCTTCCTTAATGCCACGCTCCAAGTGGGTGAGCATGGGCGGCTCGACAACGAGAGCCTGGGATCGCGCAGCGGCCCGCCGTGAGGCAGGTGGATCCAGCACGATCGCATCCAACTGCCACCCCAAATGCACCAGTTTATTCAACCAGCGAAGCGAGTTCAATGCCCGCTTAGGTCCTTTGGAGCCGGAGGCCAGGAATGACGCCAAATCCAAATGCTCGATCGTAGTCCTATCTCGAGAACGCATAAAGCTGACCAATTCCGACCACGTGCGCACAGCGTTCACCACTGTCTGAGGTTCCGATTTGGTCACTTTGACCTGCGCCAATCGAGTGAGTTGCAGTTTCCACTCCGCTAGGATCGCATCTGAGAGGTTCCCCACGGAAGGGCGATGAATCCCGGCGTCCTCAAACACCTTGGCCAGCGCTTCCACTCGCCTGTTCACACTGTCAGCACTGAAAGCTTGTTGAGAAAGGGTCACTCCCTTCCGAACAGGCACTGGAGGAGCGGGTAGGTGAAGAGCATGCGCCGGCCTGTCGCGACTCGAGCCAGCTTCCACTGTAGAGGCCGCCAACGGCATCAGCTCCTCAGTCTGCTCGGAGCGGGCCTTGGTCCAAGCATCGGCCAATCCCCGGCCCCCGGCCAACAAGGCCTCTTCCGCTGACCGAAAGGCAAAGGCGAAGTCCGCGTCGTCCAAGAGGTGGTATTGCTCCCTGAACTCGCGAACACGGGCGGCTTGGGCCACTTCAGACGAGGTCTCCGGGTCCCACCTGGAGCTCCCCGCTGACTCGACCGCATAGCGCCCCCTGTCAGCCATGAGCCCTGCAAGGACTATCGCACTAGTCTGAGCCAGAACTGTCGATGCACAACGGGCACTGCCGTGACCAGAAGTTGCAGCTTTCACAAACGATCGATCGACAGACTCGACAGGACTCGAACGTGGGCAGGCGACAAAGGAGGCAGAGGGGGGGGGATGTACTCAACGTCATAGGCCACGGCCCCCAGGATCGCACGGATGGATCGGCCTGCATTCGCGACTTCCCGGGGAATACCTGGGGTCCCAACCAGGGACGACCATGGTTCCCGCCATGGCCGCCTCCCCTGCTGCCAAAGCCGAACCAGCTCGAAGAACTCCTCGGTGTCGATGCCATCGTCCCCGTCGTCCAGCCGCTCCACGGCAGGGAGGGACCCTGTTTTCCCATGAGCGAGTTGGGAACAAGCCTTGCTGCCTACACCAGGTACCAGGTGATCCATGCCGCCGCGTGGATGGAGTTCAGCGCTCACCTTCAGGAGCTGGTTGCTGAGGGGCGCGAGCGGGAAGCTTTGCGTCTCTGGGCCTCCGTGGTGGAGTTGGTGCATCTGGGGTCTCCAGGGCAACCCCTCTCCATCGCTGGGTTCCCCCCGGTTCGTCGGTTCGTATGTACCACCATTCCGTGTGCAAGGCGCACCGACCGTCGGGGCGGCTTCCAGTTCCCATGGGTGGGCGTATGGAACCGCCGCTGCTTGCTGGTTCAAGAGGGACTTGGGCCAGCGGTCGCGTGGCAGCGTTACCATGCCTCTGCGGCGCGCTTGGACCGCCTGGCGCTGCAGTGGATTGCCTTTGACCTGGGCCCGTTGGACATCTTGCCGGTCCACGTTGGTTTGTGCACAAAAAAGAACTGTCTCTCCAAGGGTTCCGCCCTCAAAAAGAGAGAACAAACGCTATTTTGGCCAAGTCACTTGAGCCAAAACATTCGTTGGTTCAAACCTATGGCAGTAATGAATACATGTTCACCCAAGCCTGCCAGACCTGAAACATGTTTATATATATGTTCCAATGTTTCAAATACGATGATTTTTACACTGAACTCGCCTTTTTACTGCATGTTTACTCCCATGATTCAGTGCCCTTTGCTCGGGCCCCATGCAGCTTTCTTGCTTCGGTGCCAGGGCCGATCTTCCTGCTGCATGGCCAACCTCGGCGAGGCCAAACGCCTTGCCTTCGCTGCCACAACCCTCCGCAACTCATCGATGTGATATAATATATTGTATACACTTGCACATAACACATAATATATAGATAGATTTTCACCCTATTCCCTATTAGATATAATATATCAATATATATATATATCAATTATATCTCTATTATAAAAGAGAATAGGAAAAAAGCATCCAAAGGATAATTGATAATTGGGTGTCTCTATTTCAAATAGAGAGAAACGAATGGGTAGACTGGTATATTTCCCTTCTTCCAGGGGTCGTTGCCTGGGAGGTCTCCCTGTTTTTTTACACCCAAATTGAATCCAAATTGAATTAGACTGAACACAGGGAGGGTTGGGATGCCTCTTTGATTCCAGGTTCAACTACGAAGCAAACAGAAGACAACTCCCGTCCTGTAATCCATTTTGGACCATCAAGATGGTGCAAACATGCTGTTTCCTAGCAGGACAGCTGTGTCCCCAGACACCATCAGCTGACTAGTTAGTCACAGCCACTCAGCCAGCTCGCGGTCAGCCCACCGTCATCGGACCGCTCCTGGACCGATCCTCAGACCCCCCGGCCGATTCCACCGCTCGCAGCGCCTCTCGCGCTGCGGTCGCGAGGCCTGCGCCAGGGGAGGTGAGGTGAGGACGGCAGCCAGCCACAGGGCGAGTTCCGAACTCGGAAGTCCCAAACCGGTGTTGCGTTTCGTGTTAGGGAAAGGTGATGAGTTCATCTTGCCAAAGACTTAGTGAATATAGGCTGGAGGAGCTGGAGCAGTCAACCATGGTCATTGGCATGAGGTTCCCACATGAAATGGAAGAGAGAGGACTCATCACAGCACTTTGCTGAGGGCTTCTACTGTAGATGCCACTCAGATGGACAAACTAATCATGACATTATATATTTAAACTTTCACTCGGTTTCATCCAGCGGCACAAGCCAAAAGATGCCAGCTGCAAGCAGCAATGAACACCCAGACCACACAACAGGAGGGCTTGCCCGACAAAAAACCTCTCTGACTTCCAAGGAAGCAGCCTGATTTATACCCGATGTCATCGTATCTGGCAGCGGGAAATACCATGGCAACGGTTGGTTCTTGGGTTCAGCACTCTTTCTCCCTGACCCAAGCTCAACTTTGTTCAGCCATCTGAGTGTAGGTCACTAAAGGCTTCAACTGCAGTCTGTTCATTGAAATCAGTTCACCAATCGCTTTCCAACACCCAGACTCACACATTCTGCAACATCTTTGGTTGCTTCCTCTGGCCGCCCATCGTCTGAACATGAATATCTTGGCCGCGCGTGTCAAGCATGACAAAGCTCCACATTCCACTGTCTTCGACTCAGGCTTTTCTTCCACGGATTTATAAATCCTACTACATATAATATGTTTCCTCCAGGATTCCAGTGTCTCCCTCAAAGAGCTTCGTCAATTTTTGCTTCAACGTCCAACCATAACTCACACTAAACAAGGCTCAAACCCAGAACGCTCCCCAGTCAAAAAGTCATCATGACAACCAAGAGAAACAATAACAGCAACCAGATAAAACAGCAACCAGATAAACAGCCCATTTCTGTAGTAGCTAAACAACCCTTCTTCTTCTTCTTCTTCTTCTTCTTCTCATTTCTCAAGATGTGCTGGTCACGCGCCACTTCTGTGCACCCGTGGACACCAGTCCTCCCCAGTGCCCCGGCGCCGCCGGGACCCATGGCGCACGCGGCTCCAGCGTCGGGTCCGGCGCCGGCGACGGCGTGTCGCGGCGCACGCGGCGCGTGCAGCCGGTAGCTGTGTTGCGTTGGAGCTTCGATTTCCTTAGATAAGAGGAGCATATTTTGGAGGTGATTTTTGGGGCAGCGCTCCTTTTTCCAGACCCTTTTTTCTTTGGGTGAGGTTTCGGAGAGGTCCCCATGAAAAACACCCAACACCTCCAATCCGGAGGCTTGTTGCACTCAACTGGAAATCTGGTATTAAAATCACTTGCAAAAACATGGCAAAAACACGAGAAATATCGAGAACTCATAAGCAATGTTGCTCCAATTCACTTTATGCTTGTGCTTTCGTCAAAAGAAACAAAAAAACATATTATTATTATATATTATATTATATAATATTGAGAGGGGAGCGCTGTGAGCGGCGCGTTTTTCGATGAAAATGAGCATTTTTCAACCTTTTTCATGCGTTTTCTTGAGAATGATTGATGTGTCTGACATTGCCTGGAAGGATCTGCCTGGAAGCGCCCAGATGTTATTCAGTAAGATCGGTCAAGAAACCTACAGTGATTATGAAAAAAAGAACCAAAATTGGAATGATAGAATGAATGACTTTACAAGAAACTTAAATGATCACTTTAAACAACATAGAACACTATATGCTGAAGAGAAAAATATAGCAAACAAGGAGAAGATAGAAGACCGCAGGGGCTTATGGAATGCCTATTCATCACCAAGTGCTTTTTACAAAACAAGTAAGACTTTATACATAAGTGGCACAGGTGGTTGTGATGGATCTTTAACAAGGGATATTATGGATGATCTGTTATTAGTACCTACTAGAAATGTTCATCACAGTGAGAAATACAAACATGTTATAGAAGAATTGGAAAAGTCACCAGAAATAACCCGTTTGGTTGGGCATAACCTTGCAAGTGCTGTAATAAGATCAATCAAGAACAACCTAATACATTTGCTACAACAACCTATGCTACCCCTACAATAAAAACAAAAAGGAAAGGAACAAAAGTCCCAAAAGACTTGACTACCGCAATCCATCCGATATTGTTTCAATGTTGGATGGTTACGCTGTAACTTTTGATTTGAAAGAACCTAACCCTTTAATGAGCCACAGCTATATCAATTTTGAAGGGAACGGCCTTTGGAACATCAATCCCGGCACCAATATAAGCAATGGATTTAACCCCAATCACTCATTTAAAAAACAACATTTAAACTTAGTTAAAATATGTAATGTTATGGTGGATTACTCCAAGGCAAAATTTTACAGAATACTAAATGACAAAATGACGATGTCTATATTGGTGCTACTTGTCTGCCATTGAGTGTTTGAATGGCAGGACATAGAAGGGGGCGGAATGGCAAAGATAAGAAACATTACAAATTGTTATCACACAATCACCCAAACATTCAATGCTGGTGGTGGTGAAATTAATATGAATAGTGTAAAATCATCTTCTAAACTGACTGGAGCATTCATTACCTTATTCAGAACTCCAAGGAGTGGTGAATAACTGAACCGATACTTACCTGACAATTATGTATATAAGAGATGGAATTAATCCTATGATCTATGGAAGAATTAATGATACTGGTAATGCTGATACAAATGACTTACAAGGTACAAAGGTATTGAAGATGCCACCCGTAGTTTAAGTTGGCAAATTCAATTAAGCAATTCCCAGAAATACACAGAATTTGAAGCGCAATCATTATCATAAATCTTTTACTATTTAAGAAGAGCTATACAGTACATGACAGTTTAAGTTTTTCGTATCGTCAATACAGAAAGAACAAATTCATTATTGGTATGTCATTTGAAAAAATTGCAGATGTCAATTTTACTGGTTATAATTCTAAAATGTCAGGTATTACCAATTTTCGAGTTAAAGGAGCAGAAGGAGCATTGTTAGACCCTAATGAACAAATCACTGAGGGTTTCAGAGACTGTTCTGGAATTGAGAGAAAGTGGTAGTATTGTCTACTTCCAAGGAAATTGAAAATTTAAAACATCCCAGGAAATCAAAAAATCCAAAATTCCAATTTTCCAAAATTCCAATTTTCCAAAAAAAAACCAAAGAAACCAAAAAAACCAAAAAAAACAATTCTGCACAGACCATGGGGGGAAGAGGGGGTGAGGCAAAGTCCTGGCACAATTGGTTTTTTTGGTTTTTTTGGTTTCTTTGGTTTTTTTGGAAAATTGGAATTTTGGAAATTGCCTTTGGGGGAAGGGGGGGTTGAGGCAGAATAGTATTCTTTCAGTGGCACAAAATCAATAGAAACGCAATACAAATATAGAAACAAAATACAAACAAAATGAAACAATGCAAAAACGCGCCGCTCAGAGCGCTCCTTTCTGATAATATTTAATAACATGTTGTCGTACCTAGCATATAGAATCAACCAAAGCAAGAATCAGATCCACTAGGACCCGATAGCCCGCAGGAGTCTGAATCTCCAGCTCTTCTTCGCCACGCAGAAGTGCGGCCTCGAGCTCGTCAGAGGCTGTTGAGGTGAATGGAAGCCATTCAGAGGTCAAGTGGCCGGAGTCCACGGGTTCACTCTCCTCGATGAAAAGTGCTGAAAGAAACTCTCTGCAAAAGAGAGTCCCCCAAGGGCTGGGGAGGTGATCGGCTCTGGAAAAAGAGCAGATTCCAGCCATGCATTTTAACATATCTATATATTTTAATAACTAATTGTTCAAATCGATCCTAGAATCTCACAGACATGTCCAAGAAGTTGTGATTTTAAACGTCCACTTGTTGTTTCTGTACTGGATTATACTGGTTCCCCAAGTTCACGAAATTCCAGGCAACAAACATCTCAACCTTATCAGACCCAAGTCAAGGAGTCTAAAGCTTGTAAAGCTCAACATTCGTCCCAAGTCACTCCTTTTTGATGAAACATAATAATATAGTCCTTCAATTAACAACATCTCCAAGTCTCATAAAACCACGAGCCTTTCGCCTCACTCGCTTGCACCAGCCGCTCCGCCAGCCGCAAACAGGCCTCCTGCTCCACGGACCTTGCGGGCCGCCGCTCCGCCGCGCGCCGCGCGAGGTCCGCGGGCGTGGCGAGGCCGTGCGGGCCGGCGCCGGCGCCGGCGGCCAGGAGGAACTCACCTCGAGCAAAGGAGCGGAGCCAAAAAAAGGCGCGGACCTTGGGCCTCTTGGAAGTGGGATGTATACGACTTTTACAGAGTCATGTCAATCACACAGGAAATCCGCGATGGAGTATACGGTCCCAACTTGGCGGATCTAATCGGTCGAAAACAGCGGATGGTGCCCAGTGACAAATGTCCACTCGGCCCATTCCAGCGGCACTGTGCAACGGTGTCATCTGCTGCAGGTTGGCCGCATTCACATCGCACTTGGCTTCCACAAGGTCAGAGACCAAACCAACCGATTGATTCGCCGCAAAGTGTAAAGCGCTGAAACCCAAGCGGTCTCTCATCAGCACATCTGCTTTTGCTTTGAGAAGCAGTCGCACTGCATGTCTGTGACCGCCGGAGGCTGCACGGTGTAGGGGAGTGTACTTGGGATGTAGATGGTCCCTTTCGTTCGGATCACCTGACTGTTGGAGAAGAGTGCTAAAGTACAGTCAGTACAGCAGCTGCGGGATCAAAGGCTGGCACTAGTGACGACGTTTGGCTTCAGGGGCACTTGCTATCCATTCTTGGGGTCTGTTTCGTCAGCTACTCCGGAGCTTAGGGCACAATATGGACACATGAATTTGGCGACTGTGATCGAAAGAGACCTGTGATCCAAAACTTTGGAAGAGCTTTCTGCTTCTTTGGTGAAATGCAAAAGCACCGAGTCTTTCAACCTTGAAATACCAATTGCAAATAACTAGCAAACAGCTCAATGTCTGTTTTCGTGGTACCAGGATACCTTGGTTGACCCACCAACAGTGGTCATTCACATGGTGGACTGATGGGGCTCCCGGTGGTCACCGGGTCGTCCCCTGGAGCAGTTTTTCACTTTATGGGCCTCCGTCCAACAGCTTCGCCATCATCACGTTGAGATCTCCCTTCCGCGCTGCTTCGCCCAGGCTTTGCGCCGCTGCGTGCCAACGGGCGCCAGAGTCCTCGAGCAAACACTGCAGGTCGACGCGGAACAGCTCCGCCGCGGTGCTGCAACGCGCCCATTCCACCTTGCGCAACGCGCAACATGGAGGGAGTCGAGATGTAGGAGCGCGAGGATTTCGACATATTTTTCAAGGAAACGTGCATATATGAGAAAAGGGCCTTAGATTTTTGAAGTTGATTGAAATGTACCTAGCATCATAGCATAGTCTCGTTTGGACCGATATATCCATAACATTAATCTCCAAGGCTTCAGCGATCATCAATGTGTCAAGAATGAGAGCGCATGACGAACATGGTTGTTGCTTCTTCTTGAACCCGGGGGAGTTATGTGACAGCAACAAACCATAGCCGCCCCAAACCAACTTCAGTTCTGAACACTAAGAAGTTACCATGCAACCCAAAAAAGATCCCCCCACCCGCCCTACCCAATCAGATCCAAAGCGATTTTTCCTGACGCACCTTCACAAAAATATGTAAAACAATATAAAACACATGTTCCTGGTTCTTCAAAGTGACCTTTTGATATCCCTGTTTGAGGTCACTTGGGCCTGTAAAAAGTCGCACTCCAAAGAGGTCACTTTGAAGAAGCTGGTTCAAGAATATGTTTCATTTCAAGTCCGAGGCGCCGCAGAAGTGAACGACAGAATCCTGCATAGGGCTCCACCAGGCAGTTGAATCAATCCACTCGATTCACTCGATTCACCGTCCGCCATTGCTTCGGACTGATCCGGACCGACGTCTTCGGTTGGGCTGAAGAGCGAACGAAAGCTTAGAAACGAGTGAAAGAAGCTTCGAAACGCTGGTCTTCATGTGGTCAAAACGAGACTTCTGGATAACAACTGGTCCCATCGTGGAAATCGGAATTCGATTTCATAAAGACCGGGCATGAAATCGGAAGACCCCAAAAGACATGTTGGTGAAGTCCACTCCATCTTCCGATTCGATGGGAGCGTATGACCCCTTCGAATTCATGAGAACAATGAGATCCTTCAGTCTTCTTGCTCTAAGCAATGTGAATGAGATTGCAATCAGCAACAGGAGCAAAGAGTTCTTAAGCAGCTAGCAGTTCAGCTACAATGCTAGTGACAGACTTCTCCTATTTCATGATTTTACTGCATCTGCTGCTGGGCATCCATGCTTAGCAATGCTTTTTGGATAGTGCTCTGAATGCGCAAGCAGTGTGTCTTAAGTTTGCTTCCTGCACAACATGCAGCTACAAAACGTCACATGTTCGAGGACCTGTTCGGGTGTGAGGGTCCAGGTGACATCATTGCATCTGACATCATCTTTGTTTTTGACAGAGAAAGTGGGTGCACGGAAGAACTGGTTGATCACAAAGAGCATGGACTACCACCTACACCCAGTAGCATGGTCTTGGTGCTTGCACCAGCATTTTGAGCCCAAAATGTTTCATCGTTCAATCTCCACAAAGCCATGCAGCGGCGTGCCGAATGCGCCGAGTTCAAAAAAAGCCTGACTCGTGGACGAAAACACTGCGTCAAACTCACAATTTGTCTATCTTAATGATCAATTGATCAATTTCTGCCCATCAGCTTTCTAGGTGAAACATTGAAACATCAAGAAAGAACATGACTGCGATTCTTCATGTGCTTAGGTTCGAAAACACCGGCTGTCCCTTTGGCCCTTTGGGCGACGAAAACACCTCGCGCCTCGGCCAAAGCATCTAAGCGGCGACTCGCATTGAAGCGGCGGCTTTGGTCGGAAGGCCCTGAGCTGATGATGCTGCGGAACGAGGAGGCATGATGATGCAGAGCCTGGGTGGAAATGACTTTGACCTATAGCATCATCATGGCTCCATCAGGAGAATCAGGTCTCATGCAAAAAGCAGTGCATCTTCCTTGACTATATTTATTTATGCTTGACTCCGGCATCAACAAATGCTCAAGCGTCGTTTGTATTCCCATCTCGGCCTCCCTCTGTCAGGATATCCAAATAGACCTCTCGGAAGGCGCGCCAACGCTCCTGAACTCGATCTTGTGGGGGGCCAGCGCGAAGCAACGCGAAACGACGCGAGCGTCACAACTCTTGACTGTGGTGGTTTTGCACTCGTTTTTCCGATCTTTTAGAAGAGACGCCACACCCAGACACAACTAATGGGACTGCGGACTGCCGCCCCAGACAGACCCCCAGTCAACCACCCCGAACGCCCGTTTGGAAGGCAGTCCGAATCGGCAGTCCAGACTCGTCGCGTCTGGGACATGTCAGGGGCACGAACCGGAATAAGAAACCTCTAACTTGCCCACCGGTGGTTCATTGCCTTGGATGTTGAAACACCAGCTGTCGGCCGTCGCGCTCGTCCTCAAGCTCCTTTAGGTCCATCCGGGCAAAGCCCCGTGCTCCTGCGGTGCCATCAGGGTGGAAAGGGAACACTGATGAGCCATGGTGAGAAGGGGGAAGCGAAAGCTACTGGAAGCTGCCGCGAGACTGGACACTTCGGAGTGCCGAATCTTTTGTAGAATGAGAAGCCAAACAGACCTATGATGCAAATAATGCCGAGGCAGTTAATATGACATCGTTTGCATCACGAGCTCACCAAAAGCACCAAACCCGATAACCATTAACACCATGAGGTTCTGCTTTTCCAAGTGTCTCCGATTCCACGTGTCTTTTCCCCTTGGTTTCTACCTTTGTTCGCCTCAAAAAGCTTCAGCGAAACGCCCATCAACTGGCTTTCGTAATCAAAATTGTTTCAATGATTCTCAGTCCTTTGCCGAGCGCCAAGACAATGCTTCTTGGAACAAAGGCTGTGTCAAACATGTTATTTTCTAGCGAATCCAACCAGTCTGTCCTAAATATTCAACCCCGGGGTTCTTTTCTTCCCCTTTTCCCCACCTCCCCAACTCCGCAACCAGTGAACAACCACCACAAAACTCAACCCTAAACAGCCATATATAGCTGTGGCTCATGGATGTTCATGGATAGTTATATGGTACTAGGGGTTACTAGGGCACCACGGCCTACCCTTTCCGCAGCACGGCCGGGAGCCGTGCGGCCGGCGCCTTGACCCAGAGGTGATCGGAAGCGCGTGAGGCGAGACCACCTCGCGAGCGTCCGCGGGCTTCGGTTGCAGCGATGAGCCAGGTCAACCGAAGTCTCTTGATGGTTGAACTGAAGGCGAACAGGCATATCCATGGACATGTCATCTGGTCATCACCATTCAGCACTGGTGCCACCGCGGTTCTCCCCAGACGTGGCACCACGGTGTGGCATCAGGTGGCTTGGGTTTCCGCACGCTTGTAGAGCATCTTCCAGCTTGGCCTGCTGCGGCGTGTGCAGCGGTGGTCGCACCTGGAGCCGGCCGAAGTTCGGACATGGGCGCTGGGCGTGTGGGGTGACATGGACACTGGGTGACACAGGAAAAACGTGCCATCCAACACTCAGAACATGTTGTTCAACTAGTGACAGCTGGGCTCAATTAGTTGTTTTTTTTTGCAAACACACCTGACGCGTTACGCAGGACGCCTTACGCAGCACACAAGTAACGCGTCCGGACGCGTTACTTACGCGATGGAAGAGATCCTTCCAACCGCCCCCGGCGGACCGAGCAACGCCGGTCGAACAAACGGCTCTGGTGCGCCGGACCCAAAAGCGCATACACATCATCACCTGAAAGCGCAGACCCATCTCCTGTGCGCCAGCGCTTCTTCTCGATGAGTCGACGCGTCTCGGGGGGGGGTTGGTCTGGTGACCCCTAGACTGTGAGACTCAAACTCTTTGACCAGGTGTAGGTGGCGTGTGCCTGCTTTCAGGACGTTCCAAGTTTTGGAGGAAACAGCATGAAAAATAGATCAGGCCCTGCAAATACTTGTCTGATTCTTCGTTTTTGAGCGGAGTCTGAGTGCAAAATCAATTAGCTGAGTGCAAATACTTGTCTCAGTGCGCAGTCCTCTGCTGTGACTCCGTACTCCTCGAAGGCTGCAGGAACAGCATCAGTCATCTTCTGGACGAAAAGTGACGGATCCACAATGCCTTGGCATCACCGGTCAAAGCAACTTCATGTCGATGCTTGATTCTATTTCACCGCCCCATAGGCCCCATATGAAGATCGATGGGTTCAAATCCATGTGTATGAATCAAGAGAGTCCACACCGCTGGAACAAAAGTCCAGCATCTCACAGTTGGAAAACTGATGGCGTACAATGGCACTATGGCATACAACAATACGTATTCTGTTGAACAAGCATGGTTTGGTTGAACAAGCCTGTAGACCCTATAGACTATGCCAACGATGGTCAACGGCAGTCCAACTCCTGCCCATTCCCATGGTATCGCCCCATCAATGCTTCAAACCAAGGTGAATGAAACATGGTGAATGAAGCACTCCTTGCAGAAGAGTGACCTCCCATCTTCTGCTTGATTGACATCAGCATGAGCAAGATGTCCACCGCCCGGTCCAGCTCCCGCACCTTCCGCGCCGTCATGCACAGGCTCTGGATGCAAAGGCTCACCTGGTAAAACACCGTCCCCTTGCGGTAGAACGAGGCGATGCCACGCATCTGACGTCGGTCGGAACTCCGCAGCTCCGCAGTTCCGGCGTCCGGCCACTCCGCCGCTCCACTCCCGGCTCCAGCGGCTCCGGCCGCGGCCGGCGCGGCCGGCGCGGCCAGCGCCGGCGCCGGCGCCCGGCAGCGCCCTCGGGCGTCTTGAGACGTGAGGCACCAGGCCTCCAGGGCCCGGCGATGGCGTGGAGTCCATGACTCCAACAGGTGTCGACGGCGGCTGGCGGAGACCTTTTGCAAGAGAGCAAAGATCTTCTTCATCAAGAGATTCTTCTTCTCCTCGGACCACTGGATCCTTCAGGTGGACAAGGAGCATGTGGAGAAAGGGACCATGCTGGGTTTCGACCCAAAGGACCGAAGATGCCCCAAACAGTCAGCCCTCAGTGAGTTCAATTGGGTGTCCGATGGACATCAATAGATTTCTCAAGAATATCCCAGTCATTCCCATTACCTCATTTCCTCAACTGGTCATTCAAAAGGACACCTGGTTTATCTGAGGCTTCATGAATTGAAGCACTTTCCAAAGCCAGACTCCTCTCCACACCTTTCAGTCTCCGAAGAGAAAAACCAGTTCCCACTCCCATCAGTCTTCCCATGTCTTTTTTGACGTTGAAGCGATCCGAGGTCTGAGACAAATCATATCCCATAGGGAAAACCACACAAACAATGTATATATAGATCCCATTGACTGTCATGTCCCATCCACTCTCTGAAGAAAACACATCAGGAAAGTCAGTCTCCAATACGCAATCCCATCTCCTCTTCATCTTCACTTCGTCCATCGACTTCGCATTCCCCGCTCCAGAAGCCCTCCTCACGCACAAATCACTCCGGGTCGAAAGCCGGTGTTTTTGGAGGCTCTGAGGTTGCCGTTCAGGCGTTCAGGCGGGTCCATTGTTTGGCAGGGCTCCCTACAAAACAAAAACCATGCACAAAGGCATAGACAAAACAACTATATGTCTAAGAAAACATATATATTAATATATATATATATATTAGACCCTCCATTATGGAGGTCCAAGGTCCATATATGTTCCTTTTTATAGACGACCAGGTTGATAGACGACCAGACCACCGATGCGTAACGACCGCCGCCTCCCGCGCCTCGCCGGGACCCGGCCGGTTCGGTCGGCACAGCGCGCACGCGGATCGCCTCCGCCTGGCGGCACGGCGCTCGCTCGGGTTGGGAAGAGGAAGGAACAGAAGCACAGCGCATCATTCTCTTCAAGTCGCGTTTTTGATCAGAGGACAGCTGTGCTTCTGTTCCTTCCTCTTGTTTTTACACTGATTTATGTTACTTGGTGTCACATCCAGCTTCACCAGGTTTCAGCCCACAACACTTCTAGAAAATCGTCCATGTGGACGTGGAAGTTGAATTCTCCATGGCCCACACCTCCCTGGCCGACCCGGCCACCTGAGCACGAGCGCCCGCGCCCGCGGGAGCGAGGCGGAGTCGGAGCTTCGGCTCCTTTGGCCTGTGAAGCAGCCGGAGCATCCGATGAGTTCGGGGCGGAAGAAGGGATGAAGCAGTTCGTCTCCGTCTCCGTCTTCTTCCATCAACAAAGACAGAAAACGTGAAGAATGTGAAACAAATGTTTGCTCCATCTCGACATGGAAAGAATGATGCTGGGTACGATCTATTCGGTTTGTTCTGATCGACTCTTCGAGACGACGAATTCGGTCTTCGATCCGAATGACATCACCGGACCGGTCGCATGTCGCCCAGGCCTCCCTTCCAGCTCGGGATTGGCCTGGCTTCGTCCATGCGGTTCCCTATAGGTCCGACTTGAGGCCCGAGAATGGAGAATGGCCTGTCTCTTTTCGACGACACAGTGAAATCCGGCTTTCAAGAACTCGGAAAACCCACCGAACATGATCAGGTTCGCATGGAACAGGATGCCGACCACGGACGACGCTGGAGCGAGACAGACGCCACGTCTTCGGCCCAGACGTCTTCGGTGGATTTACTGACTGTCACAGGTAACAGGACAGACCCAACCCATACACCACTATAGTATCATCATTTAATAAGGAAAAAGATAGAGTGTCACCCATACAATATGGGTATAGTATCAACCCATACACCACCCATGGTGGTATCTGATCTACCTCTCTCTACCTCTCTCTCTTCTGACCCCCTTCGTCTCGCATCTTCAAAGCCTCGGACCCTCGCAGACTCGTTCGGTTCGCCTCCAGCGGCTCCAGTCTTCTGGAAGCTCCAGCGGTTGCGGCTCGCCTCGAGGGTGTTTGGCTGACGAATGGTGTTAGTTTTGTTGTTCGCCCGGAAGTCATATGATCCAACTAACTAGCAACTCACAAGAAGCCGCTTCGTTGTCTGTTGTCTGGGCTCCGCATATGCGCAGCTGAACACCAAAATTGACACGTCGTTTCTTCTTTTCATCACCGGCAATGGAACATGTGTGGGCCATGTGTTGTTTGGCACCCCTTTTTTTGTTGATGATGTTGGCTGAGAATGGCTATTCGACATCTTTGCAAACGGAGTTCCCAGTTGAATGCCCCAGCCTTTTGTAGCCTTTGATCATACTCTGATCTGCTGCTATCATCCGAAAGAACCTCAGAAGAAGTGGCAATTCATGGCATTTTGCAAGCAGCAAACGAGCCACACGGTTCAGCACTCCGGCCTCAAATGCCCGCAGTGCTCTCTGAAAGGCCTCTCGACTTCCAGCGATTTGGAAGATGATTTTCCATGAAGTGCTTGGGACACCCTCTAATCAGGAACGATTCATGGATTGGTTAAAGGCTCAAGGGACAATCTACTCCTGCAACTCCTGCGAATATTCCCTTAAACGATCAAAGAACATCCTTAAACCAATCCTGGGACTGGACACCCATGACACCCAGTCCTACATTGGGCCAGTGGTGGAGAGTTGAGCACTCGGAAGAGTAAACCCGCCTTCGAAAGGGTCTGACAGTTTGTATATATTTCTTGGGAGGATGGTCGAGCTGCCAATTGACGGTGTTTTACGAGACACAAAAGAGAGAGCCAAAATGAATGGCTCCCGAAATTGATACCTGGAGAGTTTGGGTGTGTGGCCAATATATCTGTTTGGTTCTATTTCTCCCACATCCATCCCTATAGCTCATCAACCTGCCAAACACTTCGACCATTAGCTGAAATCATCGGCCTCTTTCGAGCCTCCTTTATCAGGATGTAGCACCAGTGCTTGGCGCTTGAAGGCCTCAGAAATGGCTTGCCACCCCAGCGGGGTGAGAAACAGTTGTGAGTCGTCCCTCCCAACCTGCTTGTGCTGGCTAGCTGAGCAGCTTCGAAGCTGGAGTACAGCTGGTAAGGATCCAACGGCTTTCACTTCAGCGGCAGAAGCATGTGCATTTGTTCCAAGAACCTGAAGAGGACGCTACGAACGGGGCTCCTGGCATCGCTACTAGGAGCGATCGGACGCTACTAATTCCGGGCTCCTGGCCGTACTATAGGAGCAAGGATCTACAAACTAACAAGAAGATACAAGAAGCATTTGTTCCAAGAACCTGAAGAAGCGGCAGGCACCTTCTGAAAGATTGGAAGAACGATATCGCACGCAAAGCATTTGGTGCAGCATCTTGCCTCGTAGAGTGTTTCCACCCTCATGCTCATCAGCCTCAAAAAAACCTCGGTCAAAGGAGATCCACATTGAGCCCAGCATCAAAATCAAAAGATTGGTCTGCCTGACCCGTCGACCGTAGGTGAGCATTTTTTGTGCAAGCCAACTGTTAAAAATCCAAAATTGATACCCTGTCAACGAGAATCCAAACGCCACTTACTTGGTTCTAAATTGCAAACATGGTTCAATCTTGCTCAACACTTGCCTCACCCGCTCACGCACTCTGGAACGTGTCTGCTCTCTTGCAACATGTCAGAGAACCGCATGTTTCGCCACGCGCCCTGAGCTAGTCGCTGAGCGCCCGGGCCGAAAAAAGCTAAAAAAGTCACTAAAAACATCAGAAGTAAAGAAGATCGCCTCAGGCGCACGCGACCAAATCCCGACCCCCAATGACCCACGGAACCACACGGCATGTGGGATGTGATGGAAAAAGGGGCAAAGCGTGGGATGCACTCTCCTTCAGAGCCAGAACTCGTTTCAAATCTGATTCAACTGCTAACAGCGTGTTAGAGATATTGTAGTACGGTTAAAAACTATAGTCATAGTGTAGTGGATGAATATGAACTAACTATAATATTTAGGCCACCACGAATTAATGTCTCACACATCATCCACCTGCCATCAGCCAATTGTCACCCACCACAAACGTCAGGCTGCACAGTCGGATTGAGCATCGCTGGCCACGTGCACCTTGAATGAGGCGATGCTGAATGACACTCGAAAACGTCTGGTCCAGCAAAACGTCTGGTAAACCGAATTATGTAGAGTGTGGATTCACCAACACCCACCCATACTAAGTTGCAAAACCATTCCCCAGACCATGTACGACCTATTGACCGATCAGGCCAGGGGTGGTTGTGGCCAGGGAGCAATCGATCGGCATAGATGCCAGTTCCATGGAGTGTCTATGTATATTATGTACTGAATGACAGGAAAAGAATCGGCTCCAACACGCTAATGATTAAATCCTTTCGACAGGAAAAGACAGGAAAAGGACAAATACTCTCAAAACCTGTGTCCCCCCCTGAAATGGACTTGAAACGATGACATCGGTGAGATTCGGTGAGGTTTCGTGCAAATAAAGCAAACAAATAGCCTGAGAGTCGCACACTGTCCTTGGTGGTGTTTCGAATGACAGGAGCTGGCCTAAGTGGTCCATGTTGCTCAGCTCGAGTCATCAAATGCCACACGATGAGAATCATGTTCAGTGCATCTCTGTCACCAAGCTCCAAAGCCAAACACTCCGGACTGGCATATGAAACCGTTCCGTCATCCGACGCTTGTCAATCAACCACCCTAACTGATCGTCGGACAAATATGCCAATCACATGGAGGAACGGCAGGCCGCCATGGGAACTGCAGCTGAGGAGCATGGTCGAGGTCTGGTACCTGGTCTGCACCAGTGACTCCAGAAGCGTCATTGATTAAATGCTCGCAGTTGTGTAAATGTTCAATGCTCGTGGTTGGGGCTCCGTAGATGCTCTATATGGTTGAGTAGACCCATCCAACTAATGACTAAAAACATCATGGGTCGATTTTCCGATCCTTCCACCGGGTCGATCTGGGAGGTCTTCCTACTTCAGGTCGACCGTCTTTGTCCCGCCAAGGCGCTTCATCTTGAGGTTGGAGGAAGGCCGGAAAGGCGCCGAATGAGGCGATCAAGGGGCCTTGGAAGATGGTTTGTTCATGCAGCGAACGGTCCGTGGCTGGTAAGTCGAATTATGTAGACAGTTGAATAGGGGACTTATGTATATATATATAATCAACTGTCACAGCTGATGATATAAATACGTTTAAATGCTCCTCCCCTATGAACCATATTCTACAGGTGCGGCGGCATTTATTTGGTACTAAACTCAAATACACTATCTATTATGTGGGGGCCCGAGCATACCGTAGACTACTTAAGTAGAGCATCAAATAAAAGTGGTTGCTCACAAGTTCTACCATTCTGGTAGAGAGTGACATTGATTCATCACCATTCATCAACCAATCTACGTCCGACACGACCCACACGACTCACGTGTCCTCCAGAGAACCTATCGCCGTCGAGTCCGACGCTGAGCGTTGCTCCAAGTGGCTTTCTGCTGCCGGAGGCAACGAGATCTTTGAGCCCAAAGGAAGCCCAGTTCGAGTGGCCAAATTTGGAGATCCTTCATGTTTGGGAGAGACCCGAAAAAGAGAAGTGAACGGCTCAATGGTCCCCCATCAGTGGTACCATTTTATTTTTGTGAGGCTGGGAGCCAAACATGAGCCGTTGAGCATTTGAGCCACAAGTTCTGGGGGAGCCAAACATGGCCAGAACTTGTGGGATCTTTGGGGGGGTTTGTCTCATGGGTTCGACTGATCGCGAGTAGATGCAGTTGGCAAAACTGTTGGTCAAAACTCTCCTGTTGGCCTAAAATGATCTGTCACTACTGGGAGAAAAACAATATGTATAAACTACATGGATCACTTGATCACTTTTGAATACTTTTGAGAGATCTACGAAATACCCCCACCTAAACCAGTGAGATCTTTTTGTTCTGCCTACTTTGCTCCTTTTCACCCCCCCAACTGATAGAACTCACCTCTCCATGGTGTATTTAGGATACCCTCCATGAAAATACGTGTACTACTATAGATCCAACCTTCCGACTATCGCAGCAGTTGAATCACCAAAACACCACAAACCAATCGCCAAAACACAGCTGTGCCCACTTTTCGCGCACCAGCATCCGAGTCTTTTCGTGTTAGAACTTGAAACATCTAAGTCGCCAGTTCCATGGACAACACATGACTTCTCACGATACATTGGACTTCTCCCAAGTTGCCATGAACCCCTTGGACATCACATGAACGACCCAGTCGTGTTGTGAAGCTGATTAAGAACCATGCATCCTGTTATCCTGATCACCCAACTTCTGCAAACAGCCATTTAACTATATAGCTATGCCATGCTATGTCCTTTTTCACCACGCTGGAGCCGACCACACACGCACCGCGGCCCAGTGCGCGTGGGTGAACGAGGGCCCTCATCCATCAGCCCATGGCGCCGGGACCATCGCCGTGATAGGCCCGGAGTCGAAGACTGCTACCTTGTACCTGCAGAGGGAGAGTAGAAACAAGAAGCTACTAGTAACAAGTGCCACGCTAGTAGTAACAGGTGCCTTACTAGTAGTAACAATGTTTGCTATTAATTTAAATTAAATGAGAGTATATGGTCTTGGTCCCCCGGATGCCTGGCTGGATAGCACCGGGCGCTGGACCTGTGGACATGTTCCAGGTGGGGATCTAGGAACTTCTATGGGGAGGAGTACATGGACCCTATATGGTCCCCTATCATAGATAGGATGACACGGGTTTCAGCTGAGTATCTAGGAACTTCTATTTGGGGACAACTATATCAAATTAAATTTGGGTGTGTATATATTCTGAGGATGGTCTTGGAGGTGAGCACGTACCATCCTTCAATCATCCTTCAATCCAATTTTGTCATTCCTCCATTCCTGGATCTTCCAACGCAGAATATCTGCCTTTTCATCAACACCAGCCAAGTTCGGCTGCATTTTTACAGGTATCGCCACAGCCACGATATGGAACGATGTGGAACGGCGCGATACCTGCCTGGTATGATACGTGACGGTACGTGGCACGTGTCAAAGGAAGACCATTGAAGACCAAGATTAGGGATGCTTTGGGGTTCGGACACTGTCAGTACCTTATTCCTTTTAGATCTTTTTAGCAAGAACCATATATGTATATAACTAACATCACGAAGTGGGAACACCAAGTTAAAAGATTCAAAAGTAGGTGTCAACTCCACAGTCCCTTTGGAACAGGTGAGCTTGGACTTGTTTGAGAGGTCGACGACCATCCTTTGGATCAACAAAACCATGACGTCGTGCGGTTGACCAACAGGTATCCTCTTGCATTCATTGAATGTGTACTGAACCAACACCTCCACTGTATGGATTGGAGGCATCATCGATCCCAACCAAACGCTCCAACAAAACCGCCATCGTCGATCTCCGCGCCGATCTCCGATCGGTCACGCGTCGATGGTCCAGTTCTCGAACGGCGATCTCCGCGTCATCCCTCACCTGGCGGTGATGGAGGCGGTGATGGAGGCGGTGGGGCGAGGTTGTCTCGCGAAAGAGCAACTGTGGAGCGGACTACAGTGGTTTCAGAGTCGATAAACACTGGCACCCAAAAATGTCTTTCATATGGGGGGTCCTTCTAAACCACCAAACTTGGGGATTGTGCCATCTGCTCTGAAACCACTGTCCACTGTATGATCATTGCTACATATTGAATCGATCTTAATCTTATACTACAAATGTATCACATATCCCATCTTCTTCTCTCAATCGTGGCCCGGCGCCCAAGGTTCTTCTAAACTTCTAGAGGTCGGTGCAAACATGTTGACACACACACATTGCACAGTCGGACAGATTTCTATGAGCCTACGAGATCAATCATGTGTAGACTGTTGACTATTATTTAAAAAAAAAAAAAAACACTATATATAGACAATATGATGAGGTTTTACCATGAGAGGTGTCCGATTTAATCCATGCTTTTGTCACCTTATTTTACGGCAACGACCGTGCTGTTCCCTTGCGACCCGACCGTGTCGTGCGACCATGACTCGGTCCACCCACCCCATCCGTCGATTCGGCGCTTCGGAATGAGGGAGAATGTGTTGGAGGTTTGACCATCCCCAAAATGGGTTCGGGCTAATTCCATTCCTCAACAGCCAGCGTAAACGTCCCGTTGTTGAACTTCTGCCACAGGTGTGGCGCCGCGGCCATGGGGTTCTCGATGGTCCAAGTGTTCTCCATTTCACTGGCGGAGACAACTCCCAAAACCCGGCGACACGCGGCAGATGACCCCCCCGGCAGATGACCAAACAAAACGTCCCAGAAAGAAACGGATTAGGTCCACATAATGGCACCACAGATGTTCACATGGAATGCAACAATAGAAACAAACACCAAACATGAACATGATT